CTTCCCTTTTTTGTGCCCTCAACATTGTTTTCGGCACACAAGGATTCGGGACCTGCAGTCAATGGCCTACTTGAATGATTTCACTGCCAACTCAAATCAGCGCTCACATGCCACCCAGTGCGTTCTGGTTCAAGGTACTCCGTACCGTTCTGCTTGGAAACTGTAGCAATTTCACGGAGAACTTTCGAGCTTCCTCAGCGGAGTTTGTTTACGGTTACACCCTTCAACTTCGAAGGCAAACTTTGTAACGATTTAGAAACTTAAATTGCAATTGAAATAATATACCTATAGGGATTATATCTTGAATATAACATGAAATTGGATAAGTTCGCATCAGCTATAATATAAAGTGATACATTACCAATGTTCAAAGAAACACAATTAAATTAAAGACATTTACTGATTTTAAAATAAAATTAACATTGTCGAGTTGGAAATCTTTTAGGTGTTAAGTGACCCCCATATAACTTTGTGCCCCCATCATGCTTGCGTGCATCCAAATCAATGCAGTCATAGCGGTTAAAATGACGAGAACACAACCTTGTTTTTACATCATCGAATTCCGATAGTTCACATGCTTGCAGTCACCGATTCTTGTTGCTTTTTTCACTTGGGAATCTAATAACAAGTATGGCATAAATGAATTGATTGCAGATAATTGCATTGTAACTTACTTGTGCCATGAAACCGAAGAATCCACTTTCCCACAAGTACCTGCATTTCTTTATTTCTAAGTAATGAACACACTAAAATTGCCAAACATTAGGTATTCCTTTACAATTATTGTGTATCACTTACGTATACTGATTTATATAACTACGAAAGGCTTCTTTACTATTAAAATTAAACAAAAGTTCAATAACTCATAAACAAAACAAACAATTTAACCTCAATCCGTTATGTCAAACTGGAGTAAATGCTTGGTAAATAACACTACATAATAACAGGCAAGCGCATTAGCGCCCAGTTCCCAACTAATGACAGAAATATATTTCCATCCACTAACGTTGGCGATAGGCGTGTCCACTCGTTTATCCATATACTTCTCTTATATATACAGGGTGTCCCTAAAAGGTCTGTACAACGCGCTACCAGGGGTTCTTGGTATCAAAATAGGACGATTTAACCCAACTTACCTCTATCCAAAAGTGCTTCGGTAAGGCGCTATCTACCGCCAAAGATTTAAAAAAAAAAATCGTTATTTTTATTTTATCGGAAAATGGTTTTGCCGATTAAAATGAAATTCGGGATGTGAATGTCTAATGTAAAAAGGGTCTTTGTGATATCACCGTTTTGATTGTAGTTGCTATGTAGGTGGTAAAATACTTTTAAATTTTTAAATATCCATAACCCCATTTTTTCAAATGGCACCCCCAATTTTTTTCTTCACTGTTGTTTTTCTTTTTACGAGACATTTAATTTGATACAAAATGTCAAAGGGTGCTTCAAACGGTTTCCGAGATATTCCATGTTTTAGTCACTTCTTGTAGCAAATTGATAAAAAAAATTAAGTCGGTTGATGTTATTCTTTTGTTTTTATTATGATAACGCCTAAACGTGAAATTTTCCCTTCTTGTATCCTGATGAACCAATACCTTCCATTTCAACGTACGTAACCTAAAAATAATTAAAGGCTGATCAGTTGTGACTGGCACATTATCCAATACGGGTGTATAGTTGTGAACCGCTCGTATCATATAGGTTGATGCGTTTTTTGAAAAATGGAACATAGGAAAACACGATTGCATGCAAAATCGTGTTTCAATGTAAGATAAAGATAAATGCACTGTATATACTAAAGTAGGTAACCACTCACCTCTTCTACTGCTGAGACTGGTAAGAGTGGATCACCATTATCTCTTTCTCGTTCAAAATAACAAATAAAATTAGAAATACGTTTCTAATGAAACCGAAATTGCCTGCTAAAATTCAATTTTAATATTCCCAAAGCCGCCCTGGCCGCCACGAAAGAATTCAAGATTGCGCTTTGTTTCGTTTCCGCGGAACACGTGTTTTTTTTCAATATCAAACATAACGCTATACGAGGGAAGTTGATGATCCATATCGACCAACGACTCTGGGCGCGTCGAGATTACCAATTTTCGTCTAGGATTTGCTTAAAGGGGAAATTTGGGGAGGGATGGGTATGTATGCTTTGGTGAAATGCAGTCCTCATTTAGTTTTTAGAATAGTTACTGCGGCTCTTTCGACTGTCATTACTCATGTGCTAGCTCGAAATCCACTGAAAAAAATAAAACATTTAATATGCTCCCTTTTTAGATTAAAATATACAAGGTGTTCCACGAAACCCACGAGATTAGGTCCGATATGATTTACCCGACTCCGTACACTTATCTTGTATATACAACGGCAGAACTTAGGGATTCTTATCTATTTCATGTAGTGCAATCGGATTTAGCAGATTTGGACTTATATAACAGTTATCCCCTGAGTTCTTTACCATTTGGAGACCCAATCTCACGAATGACTAATACACCACAGACAGATGCTAATTGTAACTTCAATTATTTTACATTTGGTACAACACGCCGCGAAAGGCTGTCATTGAAAAAACGAAGCTAACACACACGTTCTTCTCCAACACAAGGATGATCTTATATAAACAAACCATCTGCAAATGTATGGCATACAATTGTCAACAAATTAGACAATAAAGTGTCATCAAAAGCACACTACACTTGTGTGAAAGCTATAATACTTATTAAAAACGTGCTGGGAGTTTTCACACATTCCCTTTTTTGGTCAAACTTTTTACTATACATTCCGGCACAAAGATAGCATTAACCCATGCGTGACATTAACATTATACTTAGTTTCAACAGTATAGCGACAAAAGTGTACAAGGTTTCCAGAACATCTAAAAATTGAGATAACCTTCAAAGGCAATGCTTTGCTGGCAAACTTTTTACCCCACAAACCGGCACAAACGTAGCACTAACCAATCCATCTAGTCTCGAAATTTATGCCGACAAAAGTGTGCGAAGTTATAGCAAACATCTACAGACATCTAAAAATCGAAATAACTTCTTCCAGGAAAATATTTTCCTGGCGATACAGCACAAACCGGCACAAACGTAATTTGTGGAATATGTATCGATATTCCTTTATCGACTGAAGAAGGAGAATCCGACGAATTCAAAGAAGCCAACGTTGATCCCGAAATAGGGATAAACGTATTCGGCAATGAAAACAGTGACATTAACGAACCGCCAGGTCCGTCAGGCCTGCGTAAATAGAGAATCTAATGTTACTTAAAATTAATTGATCATAGACTAATGATTAATCAATTTGATTAATTAATTAAATGATTAATGAATTATTTTGATAAAATACACGCCATTGGTTATTAAAAATTTCTGCTTTTCTGCGCAAGGGCTAACTTTAGTGAAAATATGCTAACTGCATTTTTTGTGGGAAATTTTCGTCTCTTTAATTTTGCTCACCGCATATTTTCTCGTAAAATGCACAGTTTTGGAGATATCGGCGGAAAACCGCTTTTGACGGCCATCTTGGTAAGATGGCGGCCCCGGCGGCAAGTTTAGAATTGTGCATTTTATGAATTTTAGTTCTCCGCACTCAAACATACAAAATTTCTGTACTTCCCGAGTTATTTCCAGGTAAAAATCTTCAATGACTGGCCTATTAGCAGAAACTCTAAAAATTGAAATAATTTCCAAATGGTATGTTTTGCTGGCAAACTTTTTACGGCACAAACCGGCACAAACGAAGCACTAACCAACCCACCTAGTCTCGACATTTGTGCCTTCAATGTTCTGCTAACTTCACGGACCCGTATTATTGCCTGAGCACCAAGATTACATCTCGAGGCGCTTGCGTCGAGGGGTGTAAGGTGCGAAGGCAATAATAGACTTCTCTACCGTGGTATATATACTATTTTGTCTTCAAACGTCATATATAATATTGACATTACGTAGCCCAGCACTCTGAGTTAAAGTTTGACTTCTTAGAACAATCGAACAAGCGGCAGTGAAGTATTTTAGTGCCTAGGCATTAAAACGCTTCAGTGCCAGTGTCACATTGTTTTGCTTTGACAATTTGATGTTATTTACATTAGGTTCTTGGTTCACCTAGCAAGTGCGTTGATCTTTCCTTCTGATTTTAACAGAAATAAAAATATAGTCGATCAAAGAAGCTAGTTATTTATTTAAATAATAGTTAATGTTGAAAGTGCAGTTAGTCATTATTACCATTATTGAAATTAAACCTTGAGCTCGTTCCTGCAGCATCCAAGTTTTGAAGAGTCAAGTTTTGTTTAGCTCGTCTTATTGCGAATGAATGAATGAAGTATTTTCAAAAACTGGATTGGTTTCTGCTTCAAATGGAGGAGTAGTTGAAGTCATTCCATCTGATAAATCTGGATTTTCTAAAGTTGTCGAAATTTGAGCAATTTCATTTTTATTTGAAATCGAGTCTTCTATGTAACCTTCAGCCACACAATTGGACTTCCATTTCATTCTGGTATACATTACAGGAAAAGAAGCAATCGTATTTAATTGGTTTTACTTCCTATACTTACAAACTTGATCTATTGGTTACTTCCTTGCGGACCACGTTCGGCTCAGCTTTCTCCGATTTCCAATTTTTCATGCTTAGCGCCCATATATTTAAAATAGTCTAATCGAACCGACGTTACAAATGAATAAAAGAAAAATAGGTTTTATATCATACACGATTTTATATCACAGGAAGAATATTGATTTGCAAAATATTTCGTGTTTCCATCACGATGAGTTGTAGTTTTATTTGTTGTTATGTATTGTTAATAACAAAATAAATTTATACAATACGTATGTTTGTTTGCGTTCTAAAATGAGGAAATAGACTCTATGCACGAATGCTGCGTTAATAACTACATTCATATAGAAATTATAACATATATCTTCTTAGTAAGCGGAAGCGACATCCTCAATTCAATTTGAATCCATTAACTAGTTGTTATACAATGTTATGTACTACGAGTCGACTTAACCACTAATACACACAAGTCTAAAAGAAATTAAAATGTGTAAACTGTGTTAGTACATTTATTACGCAAATTTAAAATTGAGTTATGTATAATTTGATTATTTTCAGTTTATCACATTGATGCTTAAAAAGAAAATATACGATGTCCGCCTGTATACGTGCAGAGGAATATCAGACCTTTACCCTACACTTACTTTACCAGTCGTGCCCGCTTAATAATACCGTATGGAATTAAAGTCAAGTACCATTTATTTTGCAATACAACTATTTAAGATAATTAAATAAGTAACTTTTTATGATGGTTGCAAGTGAATGTGTGCACGGTCAAGTGAATCAAGAAAGGCTTTCAAATATCTCTTGGTAAGGTAACTTAATTATGCATAATAAATAATCGGCGCCAATATTCAACTTGAAATATTACGGAGAAATGCTTAATTACGTAATGATTAATTATATAATAAGCTATTTAGTGTAAGGACTACTTACGCATTTCGGAAACTTAAATATCTCAAATGAAAAATAGTAGGAAGGGATGTGTGTGAACTTAGCCGCCCATTTACAGAATTTTGCAATTTTTTAGAAATAATTCCGGTAATAAATTAGAATTAAATGGGAGGGAGGTTCTGGAAAGGTCTTTAGAAATTCCATTGTTTTTAATAAGTCAAAGTTCCGTAAGCGAAAGACTTCGTCAAATATTCTGAAATCACTGTTAAAAATAAGATAATAGATAAAATAAATTAAAAAAATATAGCAAACGAGCTCCTGGGTATGGCTATAGCATGTGCAAAACCAAATTTTAAACCTGATGTTAGTTTTGCTTTTATTTAAAGTGTATATGTATGAAATTTCATTTGAATGCCTCCATAAATAAGAAAGTTGGCACTGCGCATACGCAAAACGAAATTTTGAAACTGGCGTAAAATTTGGTTTTATATCAAGTGCCTATGTATCAAATTTTATTTAAATGCCTCCATAAATAAGAAAATTGGCACTGCGCATGCGCAAAACCAAATTTTGAAACTGGCGTTAAATTTGCTTTTATTCCAAGTGGCTATGTATCAAATTTCATTTAAATACCTTCATAAATAAGAAAGATTGCAATTCGGTCTGTGAATGGTTGAGATGCGTAAAGGGCACTGTGAATGCTGATCGATTAGGTTCAACTTTTGGAATTGTGTTTTATATGGCTAAAGCTATGCGCATATTGAATTTTATGCAATTCGGTTCATAACTAACGGAGATGTCAAAAGGGCCTCTTTATTTTTTGGGCTACATTGCCAATTCACGAACTCCGATCTACAAATTTGATAAAGAATCCACTTTTAAAATTTCATCGTAATCGGTCCATTCGGTTATGAGTTATCGTGCTAACGGACGGACGGGCGGACGAACAGATACCACAAAATTATAAACTCGCTAGGAGCTCGTTAATAAGGGTATCTTCTTTTAGATATATTTTTATGTCTTTTATGCCTGCCTAAACCGTTCATCCGATTGGGGAATGGTTGATCGTATGTCTGCGAAGGATTTAAGTCCGTTTTACATGCTGAAAGTTATTTCATGAAAGTCGAAAGTGAAATATCTTTCCGGAAATTTTAAAGCGAGAGCTGTGTGCTACAAATCGATTTCAGGTGAAACTTTGCTCATACCAACCTAAAAAAATATAGGCTACATGGAAAAGCACCCATTGCGCATTCCCTCGGCTAACAGAATTTCAACTTTCGCAAAAACTTTCAGCAAGTAAAACGCGCTTTAGCAACATTTCGCGAAGTGATATGCCGCAGCCGCCTAAACCGAGCTCTAATCTGATCCGGGATTTGGGTAAGGTGAGACGACGCAGCGGCCGAACCAGAGATTATGTTTTATGTCCCATCCGGGAGCGGGTTATTGGCTGATAGACGGTACGACGTTCGCCGGGGCTAGTACTGATATAAATTATAAATACAACAAAACTAATAATAAGTGGTAACTTCAAAGAACAAAATCTTAAATTATTCATTCCAAAGCTATTAAATACGTTTTAAATTTGTATATTAGCCAATTTCGTAGACACATCGATGATTTTAATGTGATAGTTCCGATTCAATGCGCTTTAATAACGCCGAGCTTGCGTTCGGTTCGCACGGTATTACTCGAAGCGTGACACCTGACACGTGACGGATGAGAGTACTTTACTACCGTGCAAAACATATAGTACATACTGAGCGATAAAACAAGGTCTGTTGAAGAACGTTTACGATCGAAGGAAATTCTGTATCAGATTACTGTCAACTGAAGTAGTTCCGTCTGTGTTTCTAAATGGGTTTGTCATCAAACACAATTCTGATAGTGTGTTAAAAAATCTATAAATGTTTGAGTAAAACTCTAGTTAACAAAGGGGGAGCAATGTAATGTCCAGCAAGATCTCTCGACTTGATTTAGCTTTTTCCTTTTACTTTGGGACTAGATTCAAACAATATGGTTCTCTAAAACCTCTATAGACCTGAAACCTGAAACTTGAATCTCCGCCTCTGGTAGAGAGCGGGCAACGCCGAGGTGAATAACGCAGGGAGGGACCGAGTGACTGCCGGGATAAGCAGTGTCCTCCTACGGTTAAACAGCTTCGGATGGAGGAACTTACCCTAAAAGCGTAAATTGTCTCTAACGGCGAATGAATAAAGATCTGTCAACAAGCGAAATCATTGTGATGCTAAGTAAAATATCTACACGAACTACTATAATGAACCTCACTTCACCTTCGACAAAATGAATTGAACTTTTAATTAAGATTGTGGAAAATTTAGGGCTTCTTCTGCAATTTTTTTTTGAAAACGTTTAATTAAGTGCCCTCTAGCCATTTTTATTAATTTCATGATTATCCCTAGGGGGCTTATTAGCGTTATGTACCCTCGCAATTTTTAAATCAAATCTCGAAACTGAATTGGCAGATATTTTATATACAGGGTGAATTTTTTTTTCATTTTAAGCACTGGGATCTCTGAAACCATAAGACATACGGTTTCGGTTAAATAAGGAAAGGGTTTTAAGAGCTTATTTAAAATATGCTTTTGTTTTTTGACAAAAATCTACAGTTCACTAGATATGAGCGAAAAACGGATTTAGTGAAGAAGAATAAATATTAATAAATGTATCTTATTAAGCGGAAAAAGATCTACAATTTTTGTTCTTTGCATATTTTTGTATTTCTAATACTAACGATTCTACAACAGTTAAATGAAAAATCACTAAATCTGTTTTTCGCTCATATCTAGTAAACTGTGGATTTAAAAAAAAAACAAAAGCATATCTTGAATAAGCTTTTAAAACTACAACTCTTTCCTCATTTAACCGAATCTCTATGTCTTACGGTTTCCGAGATCCTAATGCTTAAAATGGAAACTGTATACATACTCTTAAAGGTTTCCCTAGCAACTCAGTTCGAATTGTCACTAGAAGTACAACAGATTACCAGTTTAAAACTTCAAATTTCAAATCGATAATTTTCTAACTTTATTAACGAGCTCCTAGCGAGTTTATAATTTTGCGGTGTCTGTTTGTCCGTCTGTCCGCGTGTCCGTCCGTTAGCACGATATCTCGATAACGAATGGACCGATTACGATAAAATTTAGTAGATGGATTCTTTATCAAATTTGTAGATCGGAGTGCATGAATTGGCAATATAGCCAACTTTTTTTATTTATGAAGGTATTTAAATGAAATTTGATACATAGCCCACTTGGAATAAAAGCAAATTTAACGCCAGTTTCAAAATTTCGGTTTACGCATGCGCAGTGCCAACATTCTTATTTATGGAAATAAATCGAAATAAATTGGTTTGTACAAACTATAATATTCCTGTGCGACTCTTTTTCAAGATCAGTGAGCGACGGGGCCTGAGGGGGGGGGGGTTAAAATTAATTTGATCTCTCATTGTATTCTAATTAAAGGTCTCAACGAAAGGAACCGTTTTCTCCCAAATACTGACCTTCTTTCTGTTCTCTTAACAAAGTATGGGTGATCGGGTATTCTCTTATACCTCAAGAACAGATTGTCGGAAGAGGGTACCCACAAAGGGCGATTGACGCGTCTGCAAGAAATATATCCATTGGTGATGTCAAAACAAAAGCTATTTCGGTTTAAAAAAATGCAAGTGCACAAGAGTTGTGCACAATTTTATACTTGCTTCCCTTGTATAATAAATAACTATTCTATGTTTGAGTATTGTACATAAGTATTCTCTGACCTTATTGGTATCAAGTACTTAGTCGCGTGAAATGCTGTCAAAAAATATATTTGTATGCAAATAGGAAGTGCACGGTATGATTTGTCCATATAAATAAGATATGACTAAAACTGGATAGGGCGTTGAGGAAATTAAGAACAGTATTACAATATCCGCTATTTTATAAGACCATGGAAATATATAGTTTCATGTGAATACATAACCACTCCCTATTTTATTAATTTTGTTGACACCAAAAGCATCTTTAGCAACTGAACTTTGTCTGCAGCTTACCAGTACTTGAACGAAAATTATGACGTGAAATAGGTACCGCTGTGTGCTAAACTGAGTAAATTATCAAATTTTTCCTGGATGTAATAGTAATGAATCAATTTCCTTTGATTAGAGTATCTTACGAAAACACATTCAGATTTCTTTTTGATTTATTTAGCGTTTTGAGATGTTAAACCAACTAATCAATTTTATATTGAACCTTGACTTGGAATCATTCGTGTAGAACATTTTTTATACTTATCCTTTTTCATTTCAGTCTCACTAAGCTATTAATACATATTCATTATCCAATATGAAGTAACATATGTAAATATTCATTTTCAAAAACAAATTTTGCAATTAATTAATATTTATTAATTGAATTAAAAATATTTAACGTGTAAAGCAGATTTTAAATTTAAGTGACCTGCTCCATAAACTAAATCTACAATAATTTTAATGCAAGGCTCTTGAAAGCTTGATGGTTATCGTGTGGGCGTGATTGTGACGGCATGTTTATTTGAAATCAAGGGTCGTTGCCTTTCCTAAATTAATCGCCATTGCAGTTAAGTCCACGTGAAGATGTTATCTTGTTTGTTGAATCGGATGTACACATAATACCTAATTAACGAATCACTTAATAGAACCTTACCTTACTACAGTAGGTAGCCTTTATGCATTGATAATTAGTCACGCTTAACATAACTTATCGGTTTAACAAGAATTATCATAATGAATTTGTACCTTTTGGTATTCCTTTAGACGCATTTTTAAGCTTAAGGTCACCTAATAGACTATTATTAAGTTAATTAAGTAAAAATTAAGAAAAATACGTAATTAATTATATAATTGAAGTTCAGGAAGTAAGTACCTGGAATGTTCAGCG